GGCACACGAATTAGCAAAAGGCTATTTGTATTGCATTAATCAATGGTAAGCACAAGCACACAGTACAGTGTCGAGGGGATCTCGTGCTTAACCTTTACACGCTTATGAGCTCACTCGACTACCTACCTCCCCTCAAAGAGTACGTTAAGCTTTTGGGGGAGTGACATCAAAATGATGGAAAAGCATACCAAGTAATTACAATAACGCCATTGGCGGTCCCCCTTACAAAATACAAGCAAAGCCCACCCATGACACACATGTTGACACCATGAAGGCACGCAGTTGGCACTCGGATGGCTCACTGTAGGTGCTTGATGGCGTGACAAAGGAGTCACCTGTGACACTAGAGCAGTTCATGCTTTGGCATCCAAGATTGACAAAAGATGTGCCTGTTGTTCCTTTATAGAAGATGATTAATAGTTTTGATATGTCATGGAGTTTATATTTATCCTTGTTTCATTTCTCTCATGTTACACATGCACAAACACACATACATACAAACAAACAAACAAACTAGGAAATGGTTTTTTGGGTTTAGAAGTTGGATGTGTTAGCCTATCTTAAATTAAGTACCAAAGTAAATTATGATTTTTAACTGGTTTAATCTCATATTGATGGTAAAATGCTCTTTTATTCTTTTAATATGAACATTTGCACCTTTTGTTTTCTTTTATTTTTTATCCACTTTCTTGATTATGTTTTTCCATTATATTGTTTAGCTTCAACCATTAAGAGCTCAAAAGTAAGTTACAAGTTAAGCCTGTTTTCTTCTGATACAAAAAGTTTGCCAAGGAAAAGCTTTTGTGAATGGACATCCTAAAGACCCTTAGGTTATACCATTTTTTGGGAGGATATTGCTTTACAGTATGACATGAAATTGGTTAAAATTGTATGAGTGAACCAATTATTTGTTCAAAAAAAAAAAGTGCAGGGGTTGCAGAAATTTTGCAAGTTTTTTTTCGAGAATCTTAATTTATTAGATGTTCAGAAATCTTGTAAAAATGTTGGTACAGAAAAATCTATTGTAACTATAATATGTAGGTAAATATTAAGTTCATTTATTGCTGATGTTTGAACAGGATTTGTGGTTTTGAGCCACCTCCAGCTCGTGTTTTTGGTTGGCGGGTGCTTGAATTGAAAGAACAGGGAGCAACTGAAGAGGAAGCGATGGCTGTAGCTGATGTATATATTTCTACGTGTTCATATGATTCATTGTCGTCAGGATTATGCATTATATCTTCTTAGTTCTTACTTTACCACTAAACTTCTCTGGCTGTAGATGGAGTATCGAGCAGAGAAGAAGGCAAAGAAGCTAGCATACAAACGACTCAAGCAAATTGCACATCTCCAAGGGAAGAAGCCACCCCCCAACCCATACCCCAGTGCCATTAAGGAGATACAGGCCGAGGAGAGAAAGTATGTACGTGAGCGTTTTAACAATCCTAAGATACTTGAGATTGTGCAGAAATTGAAAGAAGAGAGAAAGCTACAGATGCAAGACAGGAGAGCAAATGGTTGGTAACTGAGACTGATCGAATAGCAGTTCAATAAGCTTGTCTCTCAATAGGGTCAGCCATAAGCTTGTTTTATGGGCTCTTAGTTTCAGACTTGTCAAATCTTGCAAGACAAAGTGCAGGATATTTTTGTTGATTTGGGTTCCAGGTGCCGCAAAAATGGAATTTTGAGGACATGGTTAATTAACAATTTGGTATTGATGCCAGTTCGAGCCCTTTGGAAGATGTCTGATACTCGGCACCATCGGGAAAGAAAACTTGTTTGTTGGTTCTCTTTTCTGTTATTTTCCATCTTTTCTCTTTTTATTAATTCAAAATTCAAAAATCAAAATATTGAGTTCGAATCTGATCCTCAGAGTGCGCCTCACACCGACCTCATAGCAGTTTCAGTCATGCATCTAGAACATCTCCCATAAATAAAAGATTTACAAGCACGGAGATGTTTCAGATCAACGGTCAAAACGTGCTGTGAGGTCGGTGTGAGGTATGCTCCGTGAGGAGCATAGAGATCGGATCTGCTCCTCGCCGCGTGCCTCACACCAACCTCACAGGAGTTTCAGCTGTCCATCTGGAACGTTTCCCATAAATAAATTCTGGCATTTTGAATTTTGAGTGCAATGCCAGTTCAAACAAAGTACGAAAATGTTCTTCATGCAAGGTTGTGCAGGCTGTTCGAACAATACTCAAACGGGCCTTGCACTAACAATACTCGTACGAAGGTTGTGCAGACTGTCATGGGACATTATCAAACCAAAAAAAATAAAAATAAAAAAAATGTGTTCAGATGAAAGAAACCCTAGATATGCCATCGTACAGTTCAGGTACGATCGCATATCATAAAAAAATAAAAAAGGTGTTCTAATGGTTTCATATTTTGATAGTTCACCATATCAAATGACAAATTATCTAACCAAAAAGTAAATAAATAAAGGTGTTTAGATTTCTACATATCGTAATGATATTGATACTTTTTGTAGGTTTCAAAGTATCAATACGTATAAGATTACAATATATATTAAAAGCCACTTTTAAAGGTTAATACCCTTTTTAGAGATGCGTTGACTCGATTCTTAAAACTTAAAATTAATTAATTAATTAAGAGTATCACCTAAGGTTCAAAGTATTGATAGGGCGTATCGGCCCTTATTTTTAAGTTCCACTTATTTTTTTCGATTTTGGTTCAGAGGGGCTAATTTAAGTCCTAGCTACCCTCTGAACCAAGCCTTGATCCGATATAACCCCTGTAGGGGTGTATCGGGAAGGGCTCGATATGATATGTATCGACCGATATGGGTTGATACGTAACAATTTTTTGAACCTTGGTATCACCCCTATATCGTGTAATAATGGATTTTAGGTATTGTGTATTAAGAATGGCAACAAGGTGGGGATTGCATTCCCCATCCCCGACCTTGACCCCCCAAATCAGCCCCCATCCCCATCCTTGATCCCTGTCAGGGAAAGGAATTCTCCTCTATCCCCGAACGGGGATGAATTCCCGTCGAAGACCCGAATCCCTGGTGTGGCCATTTGGGGATGGGGACGGGGACCCCAAGACTGATGAGAGAGAGAGAGAGAGGACCGTTGTGATTTGAGGTCAGCAATGAGAGAGTCTGATGGACGACGATGGACGAAAGAAGATTGAAGAACTGGGTTTTAGTTTTCAATTCTTTCTTCTTTGAGTCTCTCTATCCTCTGTTGAGTGGTAGTCGGCGACGATAGACATCCGACGGGCGAGTGGCGATAGCAACGACGGTCGGTTAGTCGACGACGAAGACGAAGAAGTGAATAACTAGGGTTCAGGGTTCTCTGTTTATCGAGTGTTTTTTAGAATGAATGATATTAGTTTTTGTTTTTAAGCTTTAATCTTTTACAAAAAAAAGATTGGGGATTTAGGAATAACCCCATCCTCAACCCCGATCCTGCCAAAGTACCCCCCATACCCGACCCCGTCGGATTGGGGAGCCCGGGTACCCATTGGGGACGGGGAAAATTGCCACCCCTATTGTGTATCGATACTCTGAAATTCTCCCAGGATGGGGGTGAACACAATGGATTCATTAATTTGAAAATTTGTCATTGTTCACCACAGAGTATTATTCAAGATTTCTCTTACTTGAACAGTTGAACTTCCATTGGACCCTCCTTTTAATTTTTTATACTTTAATCATTATCATGACAACCTCCACGTGCAACACATGTGCACACTTACTAGTAAAAAAATGTGTTTGAATTCTTGAACCTTTCTCGGTGGGCTAGAGGCCGTGAGCCTTTGATTAAAGGGGAATGTCACAGAGCCATTCTTTCTTGATGTCAGTCCTAACATGGAGTAGGATACTCTGTTGCCAGCCCACATGTGCTATTTTTCATGGAATACAATGATATGAGCAAGGTTCAAAGTATTGAAAACACCAAGTGTATTGGAAATACAATTTTAAGAGATGTATCGGGATACGCCTTTGATACACATGCATATCGGAGAAAATTAAGATACGCTTGGAAACACTATAAATACTTTAATAAATCATAAAAATGTATCAATAACACTAAATATAAGACCTCAATGCTTAATTGGTCTGTGGATATGATAGATCATCCATAGAATTATAATATATTCAATTATTGTGATCAAATGATAAAATATAATTAATTATTATTTATTTTTTAATTTTAAAAATATAAAAAATATTAAAGAAGAAATTTCAATTACTCTATGGATATGATAGATAAATCCATAGATCTAACACATATTTAGTCTTTATAGGTAGAGAAAGAATTACATTTTCAAATTTTTTGTTAATTTATGTTTTCCCAAATATCTTCATGAAATTTCCATAAATATACTGATAACACAAAAAAATTATGAATTTGAATGTAAGAAGTGTAAATGAACATAAATTTAAACATTCAAGAAAAAAAAGAAATCACAAGATATTATAAAAAATTAAAAAACTTACCTACTTTTTCCATATTTTTTCAAAATTTGAAAATTCTTCAAAAAAATTAACTTACTTCAGGAAAAAGAAGCTTGCTTCCCCCCCTCCCCCCACCTTTTTTTTTTTCAATTTTTGGCCATATCTTTTTCGTTGATACACTACTGATACACCCCCGATATGGCCCAATACGGATCCGATACTCATGAAAAAAGAAAAAGATGCCCAATATATTTTAAACCTTGGATATAAGGATGTACAATTACACGTGGAATTTTGCTGTGAAAGTTGCAAAGGTCATGGAATGAGATTAGGAGGGTGAAATTGGGGAAGGCTAAGGGGATTAGAGATGTGTCCTTTGATGAATGTCGTGGGGCTGGGTATGTTGTAATGCAGTTCTGGCTCCACCGGTCCATCCAGAATTCCCGATAAGGATGGTTAGGAGAACAAAGAGGCGAAATCCCTGTCTGGTCCGGTTGGATGGCAGCACTGATGAGTGGAGATTGTAGACAGGACAGGAAAAGGAATGACGTCTCTAATGCAGTGGAATTGGAAATTAGAAATGGACAGGATTTCAAATGTAAGCCATGTAGCTGAAGCCTGAAGGTGATGCCAGTATGTTTTCATCTATACAATTTAAGACTAACTCTGATTTTGTAAAATTATCTTGAGCAAAATAAATGTGCTGCATTGACACGGAATAGGTTCTTGTCTAATAGGTAGTTTTTTTTTGTAATTGTACACTCCATAAGCTTATAGATAACCAAATTAGTGCATGAGCTTCCAACTTTGCTTTGAATCTTCTTGGTGAGCTTCAATTTCAGCCTCTTATTTGAACTACTCTGAGTCAGAATCTGATAATGGCATCTGGTATGCATCTTTTGGTTCTGCATCAGTCATGGAAGGAGGTAGTTGATCTTGTTTTGATGGTTTCATCCTATTTCTCTGACTGGGTCTGACCTTTTCCTGAAAGAAGCATGAAAACTTATTACTTCACTAAACTGCATTCAGACTAAAGAAAATATAAAAACAAACAAATAAAAGAAAATATATTTGCTTTTGATCTTTTAAAAGTCTCATTTACTTACAAAAAAAAGGTTAATGAGTTAATTAAAGTCTGGGCCACTGAGGATATCAACCTGGCTCTCCCTCTTTCATTCTTCACTCATATGAGAAGTAGTTACATAACCACCTCAATCCGTATTTAATCTCCCTTAGAGGGGAGGCGACAAGCCCCCCTCCCTTCTGGAGAAAGATTGCTAAATAACCCCAACAACTTCGAGATTCTTAGGGTGCTCAATCTCTAAAGAGTGAAGAGAGAAAGAAAAAAGGAATCGTAGAAAGAAAGGAGAAAACCCCCAAAATATCTTTTTTGGGGATTACCTAACAAGAGAAGAGGAAAGACCTTTTCTTCTAGGTATCTACAGGTAGGTAGGTAAGTTTCTTTGCAAATATCCTCTTATATGTCTTCTCTTCATATTGCAATCTTCTTATCAACTTCTTGCTTTCACTCAATCTCTAAATCTCATCCATGAAGGAAGAAATTGCAAACCATCCTCTTATATGTCTTCTCTTCATATTGCAATCTTCTTATCAACTTCTTGCTTT